ACTATTGGTCTTAAAAGGTCTTTAAAAGGTCTTAAATTTAACTTACTGAAACCTGCATGAACCCTGATTTTTAAGCTTTGGACTTCAACTTGACTATTTAAGTTTTGCTTTTGAGTTTACAAAACTTAAATAGTGGGGTTTGAGTTTTCCTCTCCCTCGGCTGCCACCTTATCGTGGTGGAGAGGTTTGAGTGTCCCAATGATCCTAGAATAGAATAGAATAGAATAGAATAGAATAGAATGGAATAGAATAGAAACAGCCTTTATTGTCTCACGCAGAGAAATTTAGGTATAGCAGCAGCAGCAGCAGATACAAGCATCAATCCAAAAAAACTGTATATTACTGTGTGACAATATTAATCGTAGCAATAACAATAAAATTAAAGATAGTAACAATACAAAATAAACAGATCCAAATAAAAATAGGAATAATAATTACCATACTGGGCTGTCAAGGTGAAATTAGATAATAATGAAAAAGAAAAGCAAGCTACTGTGCAGAAAGATACAATATTACAGGAAATAACAGTCACGACAGACTCATGATCCAGGGGGTGAGGTTGGGGGGAGCAAAATGAGTCAAACTCAGTCTGTGCAAATGGAGTCTAACTTGGGGGTGTGCAAATTGATTCAGATTCAGTCATTAAGTCCAGTACAGGAAAAGACAATGAACAATTCTTCTTATTATTGGTTATTATTTGTGTAATGATTGAGAGGTAGTATTGTTAGATGTGCAGATACAAAAATGTATGCTTATCATGATTGTTGCGAGCAGTGATGGTTGGAAAGTCTAAGAGCTGATGGGAGAAATGATCCGCGGTAACGCTCCTTTGTGCATTTATGATGCGTCAGTCTGTCACTGAAGGAGCTCTGCAGTTCAGCCACAGATCCATGCACTGGGTGGAAGACATTTTCTCTTAGTGACGTTATTTTAGCCAGAGTCCTTCTGTCTCCCACCACCTGCACTGGGTCGAGGGGGCATCCCAGCACAGAGCCGGCCTTCTTGATGAGCTTATCCAGCCGCTTCCTCTCAGCTGTAGATAAGCTACTGCTCCAACAAGCAATGCCATAAAAGATGGCTGAAGCAACAACTGTATCAAAGAAGGTCTTCAGGAGTGTCCCCTGCACTCCAAAAGACCTCAGCCTCCTCAGCAGGTAGAGTCTGCTCTGAGCCTTCCTGTAAAGAGCGTCCATGTTGTGAGTCCAGTCCAGTTTATTGTTCAGGTGAACACCCAGGTACTTAGAAGAGTCCATTATCTCAATGTCCATTCCCTGGATGTTCACCGGTGTCAGTGGGGTGGGTCTGCACCTGCGGAAATCCACCACCAGCTCCTTGGTTTTAGCAGCATTGATGGTTCTGCTGGCACCAGTCCACAAAGTCCTGAGTCCACTGTCTGTCCTCTGAGTCATCCTCACCTGTGATGAGGCCGACTATGGCAGAGTCATCAGAGAACTTCTGGAGGTGGCAGTGTGGGGTGTTGGTGAAGTCTGCAGTGTAGAAGGTGAAGAGGAATGGTGCCAGCACTGTTCCCTGTGGAGCCCCCGTACTGCAGACCAGCATGTCCGAGACAAAGCCCTGTATCCTCACATACTGAGGGCGGTCTGAGAGGTAGTCCTGAATCCACTGGGGAGGGAGACTTTTGGTTGGAGTCCTCAAAACGAAGGGGGGTGGTTAGTGGCTGAGGGCTGCGAGGTGTTAAGTTCTGAGCGAGTGGGCTGGGGTGTGGGGGGTGCTGTGGGAAGCAGGCCTCAGAGTCAGAATGGAGTGGGGTGGGAATGAGCTATGTTGTCAAGGGCTTCATGCCCCCGGTAGGGTCACCTAAGGCAAACAGGTCCTAGGTGAGGGATCACACAACACACAGCCCAAAGACCTCTTATGAAGAGTGCCTCAAATGGAGTTAGTGTTTCCTCACCCAAATGTGGGTCACCGGGGCCCCACTCTGGAGCCACGCCTGGAGGTGGGGCATGTTGGTGAGCACCTGGTGGCTGGGCTTTCGCCGGTCGGGCACAGCCCAAAGTGGAGATGTGGGTTCCCCTTCCCATGGGCTCACCGCCTGTGGGAGGGGCCAAAGAGGTCGGGTGCATTGTGTGCTGGGCAGTGGTCGAAGGCGAGGACCCTGGCGGTCTGATACTCAGTGAGGCCTTGGACAAAGACTCTCGATTGGCTCCGAGGAAATTCTGGCAAACCATCCAGCGGCTGAGGTGGGGTGGGGGAAAGCACTTCACTACCACTGTGCTCAATGAAGGTGGGGTGCTGTTGACCTCAACCAGTGATGTCACCGGGAGGTGGAAGAAATATTTCTCGGACCTTCTCAATCCCACCTGTCTTTTATGGAGGAAGCAGAGTCTGAGGACTTTGGGGCTGGTCTGTCCATAACTGGAGCTGAGGTCACTAAGGCAGTTAAAAAGCTCCATGGTGGCAGGGCTCTAAGGGTAGATGAGATCTGCCCTGATTTTCTCAAGGCTCTGGATGTTGTGGTGCTGTCCTGGTTGAAACGTCTTTGCAACATCGCATGGACGACAGACTGGGGTGGTGGTTCCTCTGTTTAATCTTCTGAGGTCTGGGGTCTAAATGGCCATTTTTGACAAATTTTGAATTTACCCTTTTATTTCCACCTTAAAAACTATTTACCTTGCCTTGGTTGGTATTATTATTTTCAGCACAACCTCAGCTTTATGATTTTAGAGTGTTTATTTCATTTTGACAAACTGCATTATCACAGTGAACCAAACACACACACACACACACACACACACACACACACACACACACACACACACACACACACACA